ACCACCTTTAATATTAACAAAATCACCTTTCAAAAGTAGGTCAGGTGTTTTTTTTGTGTAGTACGGTAGTAAAATCTAAATACATGCATAACTACTGGCTACCTAGCCACTTTCTTATTCTTGTTTGGGTGCAGTCACACCATGCACATCTAGTGTGACACACACCCCTGTTACCAGGGTACGTGTAACCCCGTTACCGATACCCTTCAGCTTCGGTCCACAGAATAGTCACAATTACACAGAATCGAAATTGAGTTTTGCACAATTGTACAATATATTGTTTTTTGTAAGAAATGTATGGTGTACGTACTCTGTTACCCGATGATGTAATCAGTCTTTCCATGGCGACAAAATTTTAAACAGGCGAAGCAGTGGACAATGCTTGCTGCCAAGAGATTGTCAATATCCAGCCAATCAACATTTAACTGTTCTATGCACTCCAGCGAAAATTTTGCGATGTCCATACGTTTGCATACCCCTATCCCGCTCTGATATTTGACGACAGAGCTTCGAGAATTTCATGCTTGCCACATGGAATTTATACTAATTATTGCACTTCAAAGGTTTGAAGCGTTTGGAGCGCTAAGAAATAGTGTTTGTGTACTCTGGCAACGTAATCATGTAGGTTTCCCGCGCAGACAAAATTTTATTGCACATATAAAATTTTATTGCACATATAAAATTTCAAAATATTAAAATTTCGCCTTCTTTTCAGTAGTTTACTCTTTTACTCTTATGTCATGCAAACGCACGCAAAAAAATCTCAGAGCGAAACATAACTTTAAAATGTAAATTCGGCCTCAATCGCACGGAGTGTTTATAGTGAAATTTCGTGCGTACGTTCTTCTGGCTCAATGCGTATTTTTTTCAGACGCCACGTTGTATCGATGGACGACGAAGTCTAAATATCATGGAACCTCAAAATCATATTGCAATGATGCACATCGTAAATGCCTGCATTCCAGACGCGAGCATCGGAAGGAGATTACTTACCACATGAGCGTACGCGGATCATATTGAATAAACAACACTTCCAGATGTCATTTTTACGAACAAGGATCGGTTGTGTTCGAGTTTGCCAGCTAAAAAGCTAAACGTATCACCAAATGACATCCGACAGCAAAAAATTTCTAACCGGGCCAGTGATTGTCAACCGCGGATAAAGATTCTTCATCTATTTGCCAATCGACAAGCGCTATAACACTTCAAGTCGGCATCTATGCGTCAACAGCTTCTCAAAACAGAAGCGAAAGACGACTCAAGACTTGGTATTTTATCTGGATGATAAGTTATGTTCTTTTCCAATGTTCATTTGCCAAGAACTGACACACGCGCAGCATTCTCGATAACGGATCACTTGGCGCTTTAAAGTCGCCGATCCAACAACGCCTTCACCTTCTACATAGAAAATATTCTATAAATGTTTTTCATGCATGTGCCCTGTATTTCTCCGATTCGAGTATACGAATAGGGTGACTAGAGACGATAAACTGAATAAATAAAAGCGCAGGATGCAAACATGCTGACTTCCATGCTTTGACCTTGTACTTCAAACGGCAATTCAGTGAAAACAGCATGAGGTGCAAATGCTGATCATTTCACAATGGTTCAGAAGAAAACACTCACCAACGGGAGCTCTTTGAGTAAAAGTGGCAAAACATAATCTTTATAGCCTAGAGAAGCAAGCAGCTGCCTTATTGAGTAGACAAATATCACATTTTGTTGGACATCTTGGCAGTCAAACACTATAACGATACCTTACATTTATTAACGTTTTATGCTGATCAATTCGTCTTTCGCCTAGCTAAAGCTTGGGGCGAGTTTCTCTTCAATAAGTTCATTCATCATTGTACTGCCCTGTTCAAAAAAAAGCATTGTGGTATCATATATACTCGATGCGTCTAATGCATCGAAGGAAGAACTTGATACTGTTCAGGACCCGACACGAGCGAAGGCACCTGAGACAGTAAGCTGACAGTCCAAAGCTTTGGACATCACTCGAATATAACATGCAAACTGGGCCTAAAACGCATTGATTGGCTACAGAGACACAAAAGTGAATGACGACGCAAATCTCCTCAGCGCATGTGATTCATAACAGCACGAAGGCCATACATCAATCCAGCCTGTTTACGTGCTTCAGCAACCAGAAGAATTACATGACACTTTTCAGAGGGACTCAATGTGCGATCAAAGTGGGCAAAGTCTTCTTGACGCACTTTCCAGGGCATACATGCCACTTTTCGTAAAAAAATCTTGGTTGGTCGGTTCAAATATGTGTTAACTTGGCGGTAGTCGTAGTCGTCGTGGCAGATACCAAAAATACGATGTACATAGTACCACACAGCATCCCGATACGGACTCGTGTCGACACATTCTTCTTTTTGCGTGCCAAAGTAGTCGTACGTGAGCTTGCTTGTCAAATTAAACAAATCTTCCAGAATCTGACCCGCTTCACCAGGGAAATACCGTTTAACAAGTGAAAAACAATGCTCGTCCCAGCTAAAATCTTCTGTATGTAACACCTCATACTCCTGTGACCGTACGTCAAAGTCGCTGTAGCGCATGACACTTCCACCACAGAACCGCCATAATGTATCTTTTCTTCGGTTTGCGGTCGCTGCATTCAGTCCATAATCCGCTTCATCCACAGCAACTTCAAAGCCGTCGCCAGCGCCGTAACTGTCATCGTCATTCAAGTCGTCATTCTCCTGTTCCTCTCCAGTTTCTTCCTCTTCGTCTGCCGTGTCACTGTCCAACCCGCTATTCTTCTTCAGCCTCTTTAATAGTATATCGTCATCACGGTCAATCGTCGACAAATCAACGCTGTTACAGCTACTAGCGTCAACGCCTTCCTGGTTGTCTAATGCCTCAGTAGAAGCTGTCTCGACTTCTAGAGCATATCCAAACTGTCCAAAAACTGCAAGGTCCACTTCCTCTGCACAGCCTACTCCAAGTGCAATACAAGCTATGGAGTGCGCCTGACAGAGCACAATAATGGCATGTACAAGCTCCGAAACAGACCAAGAGTCATCCTGATCCGAGCGCAAAAGTTCCGCCACATGGTCGGCAGAAAGGAGCCAAGGTCGATGAGCTAGCAGCGAGCTCAACTCGTGGAGTCGAAAGAGCTTGGGCGGCACATAATCTAGTCCCTTGATCCACTCGCCGTCCCCGTTATTTACTATAAAGTTGTATTGCTCCAGATCGGCCAGGTAGTGACATCGAAGCTCACTTGCACCAATAACGGCAATATAGCTGCGCCACTGAAGCGGGAGTGTTCCATCCCGTGTCATCGTGGCGGCCAAACTGCGATCAAAAAGTGCGAGATAGCTGCGATGCCAAGCTAGAATTTGGGTAAGATGCGTCACACGACCAGTGCGCAAAAATGCTTGCTGAAAGAGTGTACGTAAATTGTCATCGTCTGTGTCCACGCAAGGAATGGCGTCCTCTGGCGCATCGCCATTATTAAAAAAGTGCGACACTTGCAACTGTTGAGCGCGCAACTCCCGTGCTTCAGGGTACTTTTGCTCAACCACATTAACAATCTTTGCAAGTGCCTCGCGGATGGCCGGAAAGGGTGCGTCTAGCGTTAAACGCAGCGCTGTAGGAAAATAGTCGGTCAAAAGAGTGGCATCATCCTGATCGAGTAGCTGCTGTAAGTCATCCGAAATGCGTGCGAGCATCTGCTGCTGCACATCAGCATCCGAAACAAGGACACGTCGAAAAAAGACATCGCGCTTAACGCCAACGCGACGGGCGGCTTCGGCGAATGAGAGTGACTGCATGCAAAGACTTGAAATAGTTCTGCTGTGAAACCCTTTTAGGCAAAGCTCAATTTGTGGAATGGACACACTGATGAATGAGCGGATCGCTTAAGCGACTTTTGACCAATCAAAACAGTTAAATCAGAGTTTCTGTCCAATGAGTGATGTGTCTGTACCTACACACATAGTTGATGCAAGTTTTTACTTGTCTCGTCTGCCTTTAGAAGGAGTGAGCCGCTCTGGCGCCACATCCCGAAGTGGCGAACGGTAGTGGCGATGGATAGTCAGAAGTCGTGAAGTATCTGCACCGTTGTCTTCGTTTCACCGACGCGAAATGTCGATTGTATCACATGTCAAAACAATAATAGTTCAAGCATTCAAGCCATGGAAATTTTTTTATCAGGTGGAAAAGATCGCGCAGTAGGGTACGGTAGAATGCGTGACTTACACTTTACTTATTCTGGACACGAAGTATGAAAAAGCATGGTGTGGAGGCGACAACGACGTTGAAATTAAATCGAAGGCAGCTGGAATCTCTATTCCGCTAAAATTCGCGACAGCGCGGTGCGTATTAATATCTTGCTGCAAGTACAACGCTGTCGACGAACAGAAGTGTGTGTACTACTCTCTACATTACGCGCTTTGTCTTGCTCATTGGCTCAAGGAAGGGGCCAGTCGGTTACGCGACATGTTAAGCTAAGACATTTGTGTAAACTAAGCGTGCTGATACAATTCTCCTTGTTGCGACGTATATTTAAATCTGTATTAGACTAGTGCCAGACTTAAATTATATACTATTCTGACGTAAAATACTATATTGTCATTTATGTGAGTCGACCGTTTCATCCCATTGCTGCAGACCTTACTTAGGCATGGTGGTCTGCTTGAGCATGTAAAGTAAGGTATCATGCATTTTAGTACATTGTACATTCAGCATTTTTTAAAAAATTGCATAATTGATCAAAATAAATGTTCAAGCCAAATTTTTTTTTCTACTTTCAATAAAGTGTAGGTTTTGCTCAATTCCTGAGGCTTGTTTAAAGCTCCATAATCGATTATAAGCAATCAATAGGTTGATGTCCTATCTATGTTTTAAGAGCCAATGTCATTGGATAATTAAAAAAAATGATTACGAAGTTCCAAAAAATGACCTTCCGCGAAAGGGGGTGGGTAATTCAGTAAACTGAGAGAAAATTGGGAGAATTGTTTTTGCCTTATAAAGCGTTTGCTGCCTCAAACTAAGTGATAAGCAAATTTATGAGCAACTTAGACCACTGATTCTTGTCTCGACATCGTTATTTTCCTGTCCGAACCTTATAACCGTATACTCATCGCCATTCTCAGAATCTTCTTGCTTGAACTTGTAACGAGACTCAGCCACGGGCTAGTAATGTACATTCCCATTTTTATCACCATAATGACTCTTGTTTTTTTGGAGTCTAGAAGATTCGTAGGATACTTGCCATTCATACATTGACGCCAATATAGCTGTATTCAGCCAATGATATGTCCTTCAGTTGAACAACCCCTGCTTCGTTTTGATGGTTTAATGATCTCTCGTTTGCGGGATTTGCTGGAACTACCGCTTCAACTGGAAGCAGTGTCATGATATTCTAGAGGGCAAGAATTCGAATAATAAAGCAAGTTGTAAATTTCGAGTGGTTGAAGTCTCGCAAAAAAACGTCAGAGGTACGAAAACTTTTCTACTTCAAGAAGAAACAGGCCATCAGAAGATTTAGAGGGTAATAGCCGCTGCCTGTACAACAGGCAGCTTCAAGCAACGGGACTGTGTAGCTCCGGTAAACAATGCTCACAACGCACGACAACGTCCATCGCGTGCTCGGCGATGGCACGATGCCGCTCTGTCGTACCAAACTGTTAATAATGACCTCACTATCTTAGCAACTTGCAGTAGCAAGTGATAAAACCTCAGTCGAAAACAGAGAACGCGTTGGTACCTGCACGCTCATATTCATATAAACTTATATTTATTTCAATTACGCTCACTGCTTTTCATTACTGACAAATATACAATTTCTATGTTCATTCGAGCATTAATATAAACCAATCAATTGGAAGCTTATCTCCAACGAATAAGACTACAATAGCTCAGCTTCTGACACCTTGTGTCGATAGGCTTAGAGGCAAGACTCGTGTCGCTCAGGCGATTACAAAGAGGCAGACGTCTGTGCGCTTTTATCATTCGTCACGAGAGGGAAACCGATATGGTATCTATTCATGGTGTCATTTGTATGAGTAAAGAAGCGAGCCGTCAATTTTTAAAATAGGTGGAAGCCACGCTTAGCTCCTTCATTACGAATTGGACGTTTTTATGAGCACAATAGAAGTTTGTGGCAAAGATGAAGCAGAGCGCACTTTGTCATTAAGATCATTGTGATATTTGCAAAGTGGATTTAGAGAACGAGTTTTGCCGTAATTCAGAATTAACAAAAGGAATCTCTTGCCTTATCCATCACCTCAAAATTAATCCCTTTGGCTAGTCTATACTGACAATGTCTGTTTTTCAGTAATTTTCGGTATCTCATCGGCTAAAGGCTTGCATGCTTTGTCCTGTACAGAATCTTCCTCATCATTATGATCCACTATTGTATCCTCTTTCACTGTTACTTCTTTCGTATAAGCAGAAAGCTCCTCTAAAAGCGCAGCTAGCACTGGAAACTCGGCCACCACATCATTTGGCGTTTCGCTAATAACGTAATCATATGCCGTTTCATCGGACAACAATCCAATCTCATCGGCTGTTGCATCTAGCAGGTCACCGCGTTGAAAAAAACGATTTATAGTGTGCAAATCTCTTCGCAACAACTTCTCAGTTTCAGGATGAGAGCGATCAACTGCCTGTCCAAAGTCGATAAGCCAAATGCGCTTTTCACGCTGGGAATAAAGAATATTGTACTCGCTCAAATCACCGTGAACTAAGTGTGCACATTGATATAGAACTCGCGTAGCTTGTAACACGTCAGCGTACGCGCGGGCTTGCTGCTTTCTGGACATGTCTGCCTGCACATCTTTTAGTGTTGGCTCAGGCCATCCATCAGTACCTATAAATTGCATCACCAAAACGTGTTCTTTACAAACGATAGGAGCTGGGGCGCGAATATTGTACTTAGCAGCACGGCACAAATTGCGATATTCCTTCTCTGTCCAAGCTTTAAGCTGTCGTCGGACATCCTTCTTTTGAAAATTTAGATCAAATCGTCGGTCTCCCGTTACGTACTCGTGACGATTGCTAAACTCATTTAGTGTCGTGCGAAAGATCTTGACAGCTAACTCAATAGGTTGCATGGTGACTTCATCAGTGCCCATAGCAAAGTACACATGTGCTTCTTTGCCACTCTGGACGCAGCCATGGACTTCATCTAGCTCGCCCCGGTTAATCATCTTCTGCAAGATCAACGTAGTACGCTCGTCCATGACGCCATCCGTCGTGGCGTGACTCTCAGTCTCTACTCGGCCAGAGCCAAAACCCTTTTTCTGGCTCTTCACCTGGCGTCTTTGACTTTCCCTAAACGAGTTAAAACCTTTGCCAGTACCAGCGCCATATGCTGCGTCTTCCATAGATAAAGAGCCGCTTACGCGAGCACGAGTCAGCTCCACGGCACCAGCAGGTGTGCGCTTAAGCACAGAGGGGACAACTGCGCCCTCACCCGACGCCTCCACCAACATGTCAAAACTGTCGGCATTCAGTAGATTCTTGCTGCGGTCCTGATCGCGCTTCTCCTTGCTTCGCTCTAGATTGCTAAAAACGCTACTCCGATACTCGGGATTCAGATCCCGTTGAAAAGCATCAACCTCATCCTCGTATAGACTTTGGGCCAGTGCCTCGTCCATGAGATCCTGCATTCTTGGCTGTGCCTTCATATGTTCAGACTCAACAATTCTCCACGGACACGTGCTTGTCATATTGATAAACGGCGTGCAAACTTATGATAATTAACGTGGCGAATTCAGAAATGACGCAGATATACATTCTCCAGTTATTTTGCCACACGTCGCAGATTCTTCGTTTGTAAGCACCCATCACCAAATAATATGCTGTCTAATTTTGAAAGTAATCGGATTGGTCACTTCAGAGCTGTGCAGGGTTGATTATACCGCTTTATCATTGTGTTTGGCTGTTTACTGCGAGTATACTTTTCAATCTGATAACAAAAACTCAATTTGATCAAACAGCTCGAAACTACCGATGAACCAATTGTTTTGCTGATCAACGTTTTCTTGCAAAGCTTTCAAGATAATTTGACCGGATTCCATAGCGATGACTATTTAGCGCTGGTTTTGTCACGATCTCAACGGCATTGATTGATGGCTTCAATTAATTATTTCTGTCTTCAGATTTCAATTAAAGTGGACTCACGAGCTCACTTTAGACAGTTTTCATGCACCGTGAAAAAATTGAGGCACTCAAAAGCTCTGTGACGGTTTTAGTGCTACTTGTGATATGCCACCCAACAGCGTTGTGCATTTATTGTTATTCTGACAGAAATAGTCATCTCAGCAATTCTTTGACGTACTTGATCAGCAATATATTAAGCTGATCGATCCGCTGTGCTGCTATACTTTTGGATATCGCCTTTGATTCAAGGTTTATTTGAAACTTTTCAGAAGCGCATGAGTGAAAGCCTCTTGTACTTGTAGTCGATAATTATTGACTGCCATCGACTAATGTTAGATTATACTATATAGAACGTGTAGAACTTTGGGACTTATCTGTAGCGTTCACACAGAAATCTTTGCAATCACGAGTATTAAGTATTGCTAAATGTAGTCTTCTATTGCACTGACTTATTCCGGTAACTTTGATCCCTGCTTTCATTTTTTTCGCAATTGTATTTATGCAGATTCACGCTATGTTCAAAACTCGGTTCAATACAACTCAACCACTTGACACCCAAATATTTTTTTGCTCCATTTTAAAAAATACAAATTGCAAATGACAAGCACCGCTTCACTTACATCGAATTAACAGCAGGCTCCATCTTCACTTCCACCTTGTCCTCATGCGTATTGTCAGAATTTTCGGTAGTATTTTCAGTCGTCATCAGAGGCTCTCCTACATCAGCTGAGGAAAATGACCTGTCACCAATAAGCGTCTCGATCTTTTCGGCAGTCATGACGTCTGTTTCGGTCGGCAATTCCGTCTCAAACAAATTCTTTGCCTTTTCACGCGCATCGGCAGCTGTGACTTCCAGCACTGCAGAATCAACGATTGCTTCTTCGCTCAGCTGTGGAATTGCATACACCGCGTACAGAATCACTAGCGCCAGCGACTCCAAAAATACGATGTTCAAAATGAACAGCAGCGCTGTCGGTACTGCCCAATGATACATCAGATAACGAAGACCTGTCAGCTGTGCAATCACTGTAAGCTTGGCTGAGTACACCTGCAGCTCTGGCGTGTTCAGCTCAATGTCCACACGCGTCAGCGGAAACTCGACGCTTTCTTCATATCCATTGATCATTGTCACGCGCAGCGTTTGAGCTGGCTCTGAGAAGCCTAAAGTGTACGGCACAACCCAAAATGCCAATTTAAGCCAGCGCACAGGCAGCGGCATATCGTGCAGCGTCACAGGTCGAGCGCTTGTAGCAAGCTCCTTTTCCTGATCATTAAAAAGCGTAGTCGACACCATAAACATACCAACGTCCACATTGGTTCGTGACTCAGGCACAATTAGCTCCACAATTACGTCATACTTCACGCCAGGGACTAAAACCGGCTGTGTAGTTTTCTTGTGTGTCGAGATGAGTGACTGCCATTGGTGATTCGGGTCCAGCAAATTAAGCGACGCCTTTGGTACAGTAGGCATGAAAGTCATGTACTTATTCATATCCTTGTGGTGCACGCCGTAGTGAAAAAAGATATCCTGTTCGTGAAATCTAGACGGAATGACAAGGAAATAAAGCACTGCGTAGAAAAGCGATGCCATGATAAAGAGAAACGAGATCGCGGCGAAGATCTGAGTGGCGCGATAAGCCCAAAACAGTAGCATTTTCGAATAAACTTTAGTAACTCGCATTAGCTCCTCGTGGAAATGCTGGCGCTGTGCATCATCTTGTAGCAACTCAGTCGCATTGGTCGGCAATAGCGCTATCAGTAGCGTCCAGGGAACCCACGACATCAACGTCATGACCGTTAGGTTTCTTTTTTTCTGACAGTTTTTAATCAAATCATCTCAAGATTTGATTCATCAATCGATAAAAAGCTATTTTTTCATATTTGCAGATGACAATACTACGCGGTTTCGTACGTGGGTACAGGCGCCTTGTGGCGACATTCGTGGCGCCTGACATGTGCCCAATCTGTTTGAATGTTGTCCCAATTTTGGCCTTACGTGATGTGGAGAATGAAGCTGACGAGGCGCATGCGAAATTGCGTTGTCGTCATCGCTTCTGCGCCGGTAAAGAGTTGTTTATTCTATGACTCAGTTTTTTGACACTAACAATAATATGTGATCTCTTCAGATTGCATTCGAAAATACATTAAAATGAAGATTAAGACTCGACAAGTTGATGAAGGTACAAGTCCTTGCAAGCTTTGATGAAACATATTCATTGCTGACTAAAATATTGAAACAGATGAACTAGTGTGTCCGGTATTAGATTGTAAGTTAAGTGTTAAAGAGGAGGATATAAAACGCATTGTTGGTAGCGAGGAAACGTCAATATATCGATCGGTGTTGAAGCGCAAACGTGTACGATGTAACTCGATTTTGATTGACGGTGGAAATGAGTGTGACTCGAAGATGTTGTTTCTGATAGGATGAAAAAAATCCTAGCGCGCGATGGTGTCCACGACCCGGCTGCGACGAGCTTATTATTTGTGAAAGCGCGAATGATTTTACGTGTCCGAAGTGCCAAACGGTTGGCTGCTTTCGTTGTCGAAACTATGCGCATCGATTTTGGTTTTGCCGTGGTATAGAGGACGACAAGTCGTATTTGGCATGGGAAGATTCAGTGGGTAAGCACAAGGCTTTACGATCGTGTCCACACTGCCATATGCGAATTTGGAAGAACGAGGGCTGCAACCACATGACGTGCACCCAGTGCCGCTATGAATTCTGCTGGGTCTGTGAAAGTAAGTGGGATGCGAGTCATTATGCTTGCTATGATTTGCCGTTTGTCGGAGCTTCATCTCCGTGGGGTCGTCAAATGCAGCGTACATTGGGCTACGCAGCCATTGTACTTATTGTGACTGTGATATCTGTATATGGATTCTATGCATTCGTGGGCGGCTACATCGTTTTTTGCGCCATTGTGCACTGTGCTCACCGTACAGTGAGAGCTATGAATGAACTTGATCATGTCCGCTGACGAAATATTGACATTTCTTACTTTGAGAATATTTTTGTAGCACGCACAGATTGTTACTAGTAAGTTTTGTCATATGTGATACATACGACGTACCTGTCACGAGTGTACTGCTTTTCTAACAGCTCTCATTTTACTTCGCAGCTCAGTCTCTTTGACGGACACAATTATCCAAACGTCAATTTGCAGTGGCCTAGGCACTACTTTCGTGACAGCAGATTGCTTCGATTAGCTTACACATGACCTTCGTCAGTGGAGAAGTTTTCTTCATCAAGTTGCCATTAGATGAGTGCTTCTTGTCAAGGCTTGTTCCGCAGAAAACGCATAGCACTTTATCGCGATTTTGCTCGAATTGGTTTTTTGGCTAGAGAGCGCAAGGAAAATGATATAAGCTTACAAATATTTCAAAATTGGGTTGAAAAACACACACAGTTTCTTCAGAACACCATTTGTAACTTGATTAATCATGAACCAAAGCCCAAATACATCAAAAACGAAAACTAAACAAACGTTAATACAATGAAACCAATTCGTCGCCATGCAAGTTCGAGAATGTTACTTATAATTCTTAACCCTCACCGTCGGTCAAACTTTCCATTTCTGGCGCTGAGTTCGCTCTAACTCTGGTAGTAAGGGAAGAAGGTCTGTAATCCTCCATGTCACCAGATGTAATCTCGGTGACGGAGCATTGAGCATCTACTTCATCAGCATCAACAATTTCAAAATTAACAGCTTTCTCTCTTGCAATGAATGGACGCAACAATCCATCGCGAGTCTGCGCACCGATGAACCAGCGTCGATGACGTAGGCTCTGCAAATCCCCATCCCAACCGAGTTCAAATTGAAACCAACGCTTGAACTGCATTGCACGCCGTCGTGTGAGTCTAAGCCCGCTAGAGCTCGCATATAAAACGTCACCAGGATTTGCAAAGTCTTCAAACTCCACACGAACACAGTTGTAAGCCTGAACGCGAACCGCCAATCGTAAAGCCGTAGGCCTCTGTCTAAATGCCCAGTCCTTCTCGCTTGGGTCATCTTGCACCAAATACAGTTCCTTACCAAAACGTTTCGCAAACTTTCCAGCACCTTTCAGTCTTAGATAAACCCTCTTTCCTGCTAAATCCTGAAGCTTTTTGTTCTTCTCCATCGCAGCGTCTCGAATGTCTTGCAGCTCGGAGCGCAAATGCTCTAATTCCTGAAAGGCCTTAGCTGACGACGTCAAAAATGGAACTTTCGTCTCTGTCCAGGATAAAAGTTGCTTTGACCAGCCTACACCAGTAGTGCACCACAGCGCAACATGTTCGCAATTAAGCGACAAAATACTAAAATGTCCCTGGCCGAGTCCTAATAAAAAGCGACAGCGGGCCAGTACCACCGGCGGTGCATCCGCATGTGTACGATGTACTTCACCTAACGACGAGCTAGCTTCGGCAACCAGCGAAGAGTTGTACTGCACACGACGCATGTCTGATAGCGACCGACCGTTCAGAAATTCAGTAAGACTCGTAAGCTGAAATTTAGAGTCTGCCTGTGACTCACGCAATCCTGTCTTGCGGGACCAAACGTGAGCGATTGAGATCTCATCAGTTGACTTTCCAGTAGCAAACACAACACCGTGGTGTGTATATCGGAATGGCCAGCGACTTGCATCCCAGATACAAATGTGGTCGGCTAGCCGCAGACTAGCGACGTCCTGCACCTCGCATGTGTTCATCTTGAGCGACTGCGGGGGCGAGAAAAGAGTCTGCACTTTAAAACTTAGTAATGGAATGGTTGTTGTCGTCGATAGCACCGTCGTGATAAGAGAGCAATCTCGTCGCTTGTTTGTTGTGCGATCGATGGTTGTGAGAATAAATATTACGTGAGACTATTCAGAATCGTACCTTACGCAGAAATCGGAAATAACCTCTCAAGTAGTCAGTGACTACCCGTCTCAGTTCAGGTCAATTTTTTGTGTATTGCTTTCTGCCTGAGAGATTGAAGATCACCAGTTTGTGAGGTAACTTGTTGAGCAGCCTTGCTGTACCCGCAGCATTCACAAGCATCCATTGCAAGAAGTGCGGCCGTGTGAATAGAAGTCATTCAAGGTGACGCAGTGTCATGAAGGTGAGCATTCCAGAAGCTCCTTCACGACGGACGTGGTGAGAGAGTATTGGGCACAGATAGTTGGTCCATGGCGGATGCCAGTCGGTCCTCTTTCCGATTTTCACCTCCAGACTTAAAATTGACTTCGACCAAAAAAGCCATATCCCAAGAGCTCGAACCCTTCTATGCCCAAGATAGTTATACCACGTCGAATTTGATTGAACATAACCCTGAAGCGCAAGGGCCTCGTAGATCATAGAAAGGTGCTGACGCGTGAGAGCGAATGGATCAGAGTATAGTAAGCCACATCGTAAGAAGCGCTTGCACTAATTGCCGAGACATTTCTGTCAAGCATCCGTCCAAGGTTCGTAGAGCGAAGACAACACGAGACTCTGGGTTGTCGTGAATGTTTATCAGAGGAAGCAATGGATCTAAACGTCCACGCTAACAAACGCACAAAATGATGAGCCCGTGAACTCCAACCAGGAATGGAGTCGATAGTTTCTTAAAAAAACAAGGTGTCTACTCCGATTCGGAGTTCCATAATCTTCATACATACCGCTATTTCGGTACTCGTGGTTATTTGCAATTCCATCAAGTGTAACCGTAAGTTTCTCACGTGCATCAAAAATGACTCAGCAAGTCAATACAAGATAAAAGATCCCGTGACTTGCGCGCTTGAACAAATTCCTGGTGATGATACCGAGTTTCTCTCTGTCGAGACTAGTCCTCGAGAATCTCCGAGTAACCCACCATCATGCACGACACACGGCGTGTCTGATCTGCAAGGAGGAGATGCTAATACGCTGATATTCCCAGTCGCAGGATCTCGAAGCCGTAGAATTCACCACCAGCAGAAAGTGTTGCGACATCCCGCCACGAATTTAAATGTTCATATTGCTCCACTCCAAGCGCAAAAGCAGCGCTGTTCTGCCCGAGATATTTCACTTCAATGGCCTCTAGCGGCACTTATGCGAAGCCCTTGCTCACCTATTCTTGCGTAGCTTTCCACACACCAAGGGTGAAATGGCACAACGCGAGCGCTTCCTTAGTCCGCAGGCAATTCTATCAAAACGTATCGCCTGAATGTAGAGGACCTGCGAGTGTGAAACCCCGAACCCCCCCGTCAATGATGTGTTCCAAATACTAATAGCTGGCAAAAGTGCAGATAAGTGTTAAACTCAGTTCGCTTGGAGAAAGACGCTGTTTGAAGAGGGTATTACACGCCAGCTTCAGGGAGGCGGACGTCCGTCTAGAGCGTCATTTCAGGGTTGACTGTGAGAAGTACAAAACACCACTTGAATATTGGGGTGAAAATTCATCACCTGCTCCTTACAGCCCCGCGCGTCTCCATGAGGTTGCTGCAGCAGCTTTCAAACATGACCCATACTCGCCGCAAGGTCGATTGACACCCATTATTTGGAAGCGGACTGCGACAGGCGGCCCTCCTCTTCTCCAAGGGAGTAAAACGCCAATAGCAGGCCAGGTAGTAAGCAGTCACGGCACCATGAAAATCTCACAAAGTAAGCATCAAACTCACATAAGTTCTCCGACTGAGAGTATCCCCTTCCAATTGATCAGACACTGAGGTAACCAATCTGTTGCACCTGCGACCCAATAAATGTTTCACAAGAAAGCTGGCCACCGATAGGCGCCGGTCGAAAATGACCCTGCTTCTGTGAGCTCTCGGATTTTGGTTCGTCGAATCTTTCCGACACTTCCAGAATCGAGGTGAGTCAGTTCATTGATTTGATCTCTGAGCTTTGCATTGCCCTGCCTACTCTTACAGCCTAATTCGCTCCGCTACTTTGAAGCAGAGAGTGGCTCAGCTACAGAAAATGGTTAAGACACTGTTACGTCAACAACAAGGATCTTCACATCCAGTTGGCTCGCACAAGGTGAATCGTGGTGTAGCCTCATTTAACCCACATTCAACACAGGATGTATTTATTCTCTTTGGTATAATGAAGATATAAACCCATTCTTCTTTACGACAGTGAACGGTCCAATGTAATGCGATCGCAAGTAAGTCTTTTCGACTACAGACATCGCACGTGTAGGTAGTCTTATTGCATTCACTTCGATTTTGTGCTGTGTATGTCCCTAACATCGGTGTGCTGAATTTGAAAATTCTGGCTCTTATGCACCCAGAGCATGGCATATGATCTCATTTCAGTAAAATCATTAAAATAGCTACGAAGCGGATATCATCAAGTCAGTTTGATCAACGACACCTCCTCCATTCAGACCGAATTATATTCGTGGAGGACTCCACGATTATACAAACCATTTGTGTAAAGCGCAGTGAGGCCAGCACAGGCATGTACTGTGCTGTTCAGCCCAAACTCAGTGATTTGGAGTAACTCACATCAGCAACGAGGCAAGTGTTGTAGAAGCTGGCCCTCACAATACGATAATTAGTCAGCGGTTGACATTACTAATCTAGACCTTAAATTACATTTGCTTCATATTCGCTGTAAAGCGCTGATCGCTATCCGATCCGATGGCTGCCGACAAGCCATGATGGCCAAACACTTTACGAAGTAAAGCTAAGCTGATTTCTCACCGGTCATCCTAATGCCGACAGCAGATAGATGAAATGTCTTGGTAAGACGGTCCACAAAAACCTTATTATCGGATGCGTCTTTTGGAAGACGAATAATCAAATCGATCCTGATAGACTGCCAGCATTCTGCTGATATCGGCAGGATGGCCAATAGTGCCGCCGCAAAGATCAACGATTATTTCCATTAACACGTTTCGCACGTGTGTACATATAGACTTACCCATTTTTTACATATTGGGCCACAGATACATAGCGCTCACCGAGCAGTATGTATTCTCTCGTTTGATATGACGGCTGAACAGTGTTATATGTACAATATTCTGAACTTTGAGGTTCTAGTCAAAGGCTCCACTACGCTTTGAGGTTCATGTGTGCAGCGGGTCTTCCGTAGCTCTTTCACTTAGAGAAAGCTTGGTTAAGGTCCGCGACCTTCGTGTTATACTTAGAACCAGTACGAGTGTAGCGGATCGCAATCCACTTGCTCAAAGAGTAATTACAACCTTAATCCAAGGCAAACTAACTCATTCGTTTAAAATGTAAGCTATATTTCTCGGTTTTATTTGCAGCACAGCCGGCTCTATCTGAATCTAAAAAATTTGCTATCTATATAGCAAAACTATTTAAATGTATAACGCATTGCCTGTTCCAACTACGTACTGACTTCTTGTTTAGTGAAACCATGTCCTTGTGTGGTCACATCATATTATGTAATACACACCATTTGTTTTACCCACACCCTTCATACCAGGGCCTATTATAATGTGTCCCAGTGCTGTAATGCAGCAAACCTTCGGATTAAGATTGCGGCGCAGGCGTCTTCGACGGGATTACACCTCAAGCTTTCAGCATCACAAAATATAGTCCATCTGTTTCAAGTGCTTTTGGTATCGCATTATTAATTGGTGGTTTTGCCATTTTAGCATGCCATAATATTTAGTCTGAACAATACAAAACACACCATACGCCACCAAATTATCGATCCAGTTTATACTTTATCTCAGAGGTATTCTAGGCAAAAGAAATAATATTATGCCATTCTATGTGTGTGGTGACATTGACATGCGTAACAATGCATTTTAAGATAGGTAACAAACGGGTAGATTCATCGTAGTGCTTCATTGTAAGTACCTCCTTGTCATGACTAAAGTAGCTCTTTTCAGTAGCTTTCTGCTGGCTAGACTCAGAGGCAATCGCACGTCCATTGGAATCCGCTTGAGCTATAGTGCAGTCGAGTACAAAGGTTACAGACGACTCGAGATGTGGGATCTGGATTTGCAAAACCTTAAATTGAATTTCGCACAGGACTTTTACCCACAGCGTTAGAAGTCGATTTTACTGCTGCATCAAACATTATTTAATATCTTTTTTAGCAGATCGATAAGACATTTACCTTGCTGGTGTAATTTGCACGGTACATGTTCAGGAATTTGGGTGGGATAGGCCATTTTCCTTAGCCCCCTAGACACAGAGGTAATAGCCAATCTACCGCGGTATAACTATTGCGGGCTTTCCTTTTGACTTGATTTTTAATTAAGCTGACCAGGAATCTTGTCGGCTTCAAAGATACGCTTGTCTTATTGGCGATAAGCGTAACCAAACGTATAGATTCGTACTGTTAGCAATAATGTATTGTGGCATTTCACATTCAGCTCCCGATCTCTGCAGCGGTACATCGCAAACTTTGTGCCTAGCCGCGATCTAGCACGAATTGTTGTGGCACCGAAGAATTGACTTTTGCTGGCGCATCACTACAATTCCTGCGGTGTAATCAGCCACTTCCTGTGTCTCGCTTTGAATACTCACCGGAGTACGGGAAATATCACTGTCTTTCATCAACAGTTGATACGAGTCATCAACCAGGTTGACAGGACATGCAAAATGCGGTGACTCCATGCTGTTCTTCAGCACATTCTCTCTGGAATTTTTCTGCCATATTGTGGCTGTACGTAGCATATTCTTAGCATGCATTCTTGCCGTTAGTCTTCTGACACATGGATTCGGCGCTGAGCGGGAAAATTAACTCCTTCTCATCAAACCCGCTTCGAGCTTCACACACAAGAAATGCCAATGACGCACCACGCTCTTTTCATAAGATATTTTGCCATGTGACGCGATATCTGGTTTCATTAAATCAAGATAATATCATGACGCACTTCCGTTTGTAAGTTAACACGCATGGTAGTTCCCTCATCACTGCATCATGATATTCCTTGAGATTGTTGAGATAGCTGCCCTACTCCTCGCCCTTCGATTGTCTTATTCGTCATGCCGAGTGACAGGCTCACCTTCTCCTTCGTCACCAACCTACTGTTTGAGCGTCTCAATCTATCGCGAGTTCTTACACATATTTCCGAGCTCTAATTAAGTTAATTCTGAAGTGGTTCTGCCGGTGGTAGGGAGAGAAGATATCCAGCCTTGACGACTGCATCAACCACATTCGCAAAAAATAAATGATTGTACCACTTACCTGTCGGTTTTTAATGCTCCAACTGATGGGCCAGTGTCAAAGCAGTAGAGCCGTTGCATTGAGACAAGGTTAAGTTGTGTTTCTCGGACCCCCAAATATGGATTTGAAGTAGTACTTCAGCTTAAGCCCTAGTAGTCAAGATCCAATAAAAATCATCTTGTCGGAGTTTACTTTAACGCCGACTCTTCTCTGTGCTCAAATACATTTCAGCGACTGAAATCAATAAATGGTGACGCCTATTACAACTTCATCAGTTGATACCAATACCAGCAATTATTAGATCGTTCAAATAATCATCAGACCTCGCATTCTGCAAAATGATTTATTTTGGCATTATAAATAGAGCTGCCTACGTATGTTGACTTTAACATGGCATGTATGGACTTTCTCTGTCCTTATTCGAGCCAAGTGTTGAATTATGATTAGCGATTTTGGGTCACAATTGAGCATCAAAGATACATATTTGTTGCAGGATATGCGCCCTATAGTGATGTGATACTTTTGTCCCTCAAGAATAGATCGAGCCCCAGAAAAGTCAAGAATAACTCATCTGACGACGTACCACGACGAGTCTCGGTAAGGATGAGGTTAACGGGACTTCGTAACGTAAAAGTCCACGGGAGACGTAAGCTGCTGATCCATCACCTAGATTTCTATTGCTGTATACATTTAAGCAGATGCTTTGAGAATTAATTAAAGGTATATAAATTTGAGTAAATATCACTCATGTACCTAGAAGCAAAGAGTAACAAGTTAGTGTAGAGACTCGTGGATCCGCTCTGGGTGAAGTGTGCAAATCTATATATGCTGCGTAGATTAATGCAAACTCATAAAGTCAAAGCATTACCTGGTGTAGTGTATGGCAACCGTTGCATCTGGTAACATTTCTCGTCAAGTCGACAACCAAGGCTAGTTAAAACTATATCCTCCGTGAGGATGAAAATTGACGCAGTAACTTATCCATTCGTGGGACAGCAAGTCGTGCTTAGCACAATTCTGTGTTATTTGGTCCGCAACGCTGTTGCCCTAAGGTCTGAGAGCGGTATATATTCGCCAGAAACTAGCTATGTGGACACAACTACATGACTAATTCGAGCAAGCGGCTGTGGATAAATAAGTGGCTTCAATATCGAGACCCTGTTAAATACGAGTCAGCCTTTTGGTGGCAAAGACTGAGAAATATTTCTGTCTCGGTAAGAGAGCCATGCTGTTGGCGAAACGACAAGAAGTCGCGCTTAACGTTTTCCAAGCTATGTGACATATTCGCACCGCGTGCCGTATGCAATTGGAAATTTGTTCAGCCGTCGAGAGATGCGAACCCATGAACTATATTTAAAGCTTGCGTCTTCTGTAGCCGGGACGGTAAGCAGGTCACTTTCTTAAAATGGTCGCAGAAAGTATCTTCATTCAGCTCGCACCTAGACTTTCCGCATCCGTCCCACCTCTATTTAGATAAGGCAAATACAAAGCACATATTTCGTACCACGAGTCCCGCTATTAGCGCGGGAGGCGAATGATCTATCGGCGCAGAGGTGATGGACCTTAGCTCAATAAGGGTGGTCTCTAAGCTCCAAGAAAAATCATCACTGTAGTACTTGAAGACGCTAGCATCAAACACCTACACCTTGTGCTTCCCCATTTTTTGAAAATGCGGGACGGGTCGAGACCTATTTCTGCGGAAAAGTGACGAGACCAATACGCGTCGAACAGTCTACCAGAAGGACTGAGTTTAGTTTGTCTTGTGGAGTTTGATCCCTGCAGCGGGGCTGCCGTAGCTCTTAGCTTAGAGGAAGCTTACTTAGGTCACCGACCTTCGTTCTATACTAGTGCCGCAATGCCGCCCACATCCAAAACCTTAGGTTTCCTATATAATTAGTAAATCTAATGAATATGCATAACTACTGGCAGTCCCAATACGAAGTGGCTTCTTGTTACGATGTAGCCACACCATTGCGTGATCACATCGACTTGTGTAATCCCCACCTTTGTACGGTCACACCATCTTCTGTGACCCACCCTTCATACAAGGGTACGTGTAACCCCGTTACAATGTCAATGGAACTTAGATCTTAAGGCAGCAAATTTTCTAACGAGGTAAGTCTCACAAACCAAGCTTGCAAACTAAAAATTTCATCGGTCTAAGTCGCGGAATACTTTAGCAGGTTCAGAGCGTCACGCAAAATTAGACGACTACCGAAACAATTAGAAGTGCGCAGAGGCAGTAAAGTTATCAATATCGAATCTGTGTATCGTACGACGAGGTTCCTCTAAACCTTCAATTTGAGTTGGGGGCGGTGTCAGCATGAAACACCGCTTGTTACTATACCTGAATCTAGGATTTTTCACGCAGTCCACTACTAACGGCTTTGTTGAGTCATCATCCTACATCTGCCAGTGAATAAAAGCGCCTTCGGTCCCGACAGTTGCTGTAGTAGCTCTAATGCAGGGCGGAAATTGTTCGAAACGATGATAAAAAACAACTCTATCTGCATTAGGTAAAGACAAGAGGCAAAAGTGGCAGATGGCCGTGGTGTCCAGATAAGACGGAAAAAAGTGATTGTGTATCGCAGTCTCTTGATTGTATTTTTGATAGAGAGGAATAAGCATAGTAAACTGTCGTCTCATTGTATGTCTTTGATAAGACGTTAAATTCAGCTGATATCTGAGTCTTCTATGTTCGAGTTCTAAGGGCGAAAGTGAGCAAACAAATTTTGCAGTCTCCAGCTTTGACCCCGAAGGGATGTTTCAGAGCAGCTAAGTGCCGCGGTGAGAAGTCTATCCCGACAGCCTTAGTAGGTCGCGAGAAGGAAAACCACGTTCTGACGTTACTAAGGAATGTGCATCGTTTATCACAAGTAGATGTATTGCTCAGTCAGCACCATCGTGTGATTCGCTCACCACGTGGGACTAAAGCAATTACTGTCAGGGGATGTATGCAGCGAATTTAAGTCAGTGAAGCTACCGAAATGGTACGGTCGGTACCAAAGAAGAAGCTGAGTGCGTCACCCGTCATGAGTAAGTCCGTTGTCTGAAATTCGCGCCGAGCACTGAGTGCAAGAGGCGAAACGGATGTCCTCAAAAACCCATTAGAGTGTTGTTTTTCTTGTTGATGATGTAATATACCCACTATGCTTAGCGCACACAGCGTCATGAAATTGTCTCGGATTCTGGACTGAGTAAAGTGTCACATATTATTAGTAGACGCTTTCTACCGTGCAAAGCACGAAGCCGAGAGTCCTTACCCGGCGCTGACTTTCTGCGTCGAAAACACTAACGGCAGGGCAAAGTGTAACACTTTATATTATAATTAGCGAAATGATCTACTTCGCCGATCTCTGAAACACGTATGCTGCAGTATAGCATGATCAGTTCCAACTTGCTCACTGCTCTTGATTCAGTTCATGGATAATGCCGAGTGCTAAATACATCTCCTCTCGCTGTAGTAAGTTACTTTATAAGTGTCTAATAAAGCCCCCCAGGGAATGTCCGAAACACCGCAACATTCATATGTCTTGTTAAACAGCACTTTTGGCTGGATTTTTGTACACACATACCTCTTTTGACGATATATTCGTCCATAGTCATACAGTACATAAGTTCAGAATGAACACCCAAATCAAATACGTATAAGCAGTGCTCGAGTATGTGCGCTTAAAAAGCTTTTACCAACATACATAAGTTTGAGTCTGATGACCAATTTCATTAGGGGGGTCAAATGAGAGCAGCCTCCATAAACCTACGCTACATGGTGCTAGGATGCGACAAAAGAATCGGTCTTCAGAGCTGTGCCTCATGTGTGTCCGATTAGCCATTTTATTTCGTCCGTATCGCTTCGGACTTCCCCATAAACTGTATTTTACTTTCAGTTGGTACCAATGGCCATGATAGCATCTATTGCAGCGTAGATTCCAGAAGAAAATTTCCATTCGGTTCGAATCAAGAGGCTATTTGCAATGAACTAATCCATTGTCGTGTTCAGGGCACATCGATGAGTTGTCTCTGCGTATCAGCTTATCGACGAATAACAAGCATTAACGTATTGAGTGATGAGATCCTCACATTGGAGATGATTGTCGTTAATGGTGAAAGAAAAGCTGCTTGAATAAAAGTTCAAGCACCGTTAAAAAACAAAAAGCAAGTTGTTTCAAGATACAACTCAAGCGATGGTGACAAAAGCAAACCAAACTTAAGGATGCTTTTAAAACAAGTAATTGACTTGCCGATTTTGCGATTATGAGTCCTTTGGTCCACTATTCGCTTTGCTAGCCACTCATTTTTCTTGTACGTCACAGACACGCCCAGATTGATCTTCACAGAAGTATTGCCTTAACTTTCTTCATGCCAGCGTAAAGTTAATGGAGCTGAATGACATATTTTACGGGTTTCACGTGCCCTGGTAGAAAGGGTGTGGGTCACATAATGGTGTGGGCTACATACGATAATGTGACCACAACATCAGCTGTACGGTATGATCGAGATGTGCTGTGTCCAATGAAGTTGCGCGTTGCAAAGTCGAGACTAAGTAAAAGCCACTGTAAAAATGTTGCTTGACAATTACGAGCATGTACACTATGAGTGCAAAATACGCAAATGACAACATTTGCGTTTAATTTTATTGCTACAGCGTTGACGTGTAACTCGTACAGATGAAAATTTTGACCCTATCAATCCAAAGTATGATCGACACACAAATGATGATTTTGTTGGCTCCATTTAGGAACTGAATTTTTAATCTCCCGGGTACTCATTGAATTCGCGATAACCAGCAGTCCTGTAGAAAATGATAGACAACGTCTCAGGAGACTATCGGTGAATTGCCATCTACTCAAGTCATATTTTCGAGAAAAAATCTACACGAATAGACGACATAGGTGACGTCGTTATGCAAAATATCTACAATTGCTGAATATATTTATTTTAGTATTTCTGTTCAATTGATCAGCAACCTCGATACTATCATCCATTGCTTCCCTAAAAATCTGTCGATCTGGTCTTCACATTCACCCACGTCAGAAATCAGTCATATGATACTAGACGACTTTAGCCCGTTTTATATCTGAATGCATAAGAAAGTCTGCCATACGCATCTTAATTCGATGGATCATTCAGGACTTCCGCTGTAAATTTCAACAATTCTTCCGGGATAGACTATTTTAATCGAAGGATAACTAAAGGCGACTATTATCGAGCAGAAAATGAAGCGACCTCGGCTGTCTTTGTCAGACAACGCCGACCCTTCATGCCTCCTCTCTTCCGACGGCTGCGCATTAGCTTTCGGCGTTATCAGGGCTAGAGGCCGAAAGCTTCACTATTCGTAGCAGTGCAAATATGCTGATTAGTATGTGGCCGTTGTGCATACACTATGCTAATTTCTAAACAGTCACGACCTGGATTTCAGTATACGCAGTTTGTGAGCTATTATAAACGTATCAAACCTGTTTGAAAATAAATAGATTATCAGTAAGACTCTGGGCATTGCCAAACGTGACGAATGTAACGTACTTTTCTATCAAGCATCCACTTGCAAATATGGCAGCAGCAGAAGCTTTGTTAGCTTATGAACCTTTGCAACACCTTAAGCACGAGAATTTTATGCTGCGCGAAGAAAATCGAAGAATTCAAAGCGAAGTCCGAGAGCTGATGACGTGGAAGGACAAAGCTATAGCTCACATGACTGCTATGGCACCAGCACGCCAGCGCGCTGGACGTGAGTTTGAACGTGCAAAACAATTACAACAACAGCTTCGTACTGTCGAGAGCTCATTGCAGTCACGAAGTGCTCTTGAGTTAGCCACAGTAGAGCTCAAATCAGAGCGTGAAGCACTTCAACTTCGCATTGAAGGACTTGAACGTGAACTTGCTACATTAAAGTCTCAAAGTAGGCGCAGAAAACGCCGCGCTGAAGAAGCAGAAGCTCAACTTGCTGTCTTAGGAGAGTCATTTCGACTTCATCTCGAGCGCTTGATAGCAATGCACAAAAAGTTTGATGGTGTTTCGAAAGGTATTGACATAAAAACCAGAAACAAACATGAGGAAGTGAAGCACGTTGCGGATAATGCGAAGGGTCTGGACATTAATTCAAGCGATAACATTCATGACAACGCTGTAAAGCAAGAGGAGGTAGTTTCAGAATTGGATACTGATTCATCGTCCTCCGATTCTTGGAACTCTGCTGCATTAGTAACGGGTCTTAACACCGCGGCGTGCAAGTGTTCGCGGTGGCTTGAGGGTCATTTAACGCATTCATTTGCTCTTCTACAACGCAAGGCAGCTCATTATGAAATTGAGCACAAAGAGGTCAAGCGATTGAAGGAGCAGGTGGAAGCTGCAGGTCGCGTGCCGAAAGAGATTGCCTTTGAGCATGCCAACCAAGCTCGCGAACTTGTCGAGTTACGCGAATCTTTTAGGCAATTGGAGCAACGATTGAAAGATACGGAACGTAAGCTTAATGTGCAGCAGCAGCAAAAAGAAGACATGGCAGTTCGCTTACGCTTTGTTACAGGAGAAGTGCGTCAGTACTTGAGACTTGTTCGAGGCGAAATTAAGCGCAAATTTGGCTATTTACCTGAAGCTGTAGCTCATGCTGAAAGTTGGGCAAGAATTGCGGAAGCGCTGGAGCTGTTGTTATGTCAAAGTACATTATTGCGAGATAATAAAACAAATCACTCAGATTGACCTCATTGAATATGCTTGACCATGCTGAGCCGGATTGATGTGATATATACTACTTAATAGCTATGTGATCCTTGATTTATAGTCCCTGATGTTTTTAGAACATTAGCTTTTCTTTGCGATCTGCGCAACATCTGGTCGTCGTTTCGAACACGTTCTTCGGTGATCGTTTTTCTCTTTTCGACGCGAGGTGACGTCGGTGCTTGGACTCGTTTTCGCTTAGCTGGTGATGCTGCGCTTTTGGTACTGAGAGTTGTACCGGGCGATACTTTATCGTTTGCCTCGATATAGAGACACAACTGAACGCGTTGCGAAGTCCAAAATTGCGTGTTTCCAACTTTCTTGGAGCGATTTGCAGCTCGCTGTTCGTTCAACCACTTAGCTTTACCTCGTAGCTGCTCAGCAAAATTAATAAAATGCGGCAGCGTGTACTTGCGTGGACCAATAATGGCTAGACAAGCAGCGAATAGTTCGAACAAGCTTTTATTTTGACATTCACTTTCGCTAAACGCACCCGCGATCGCCTCTAACGCTTCGTCCGCCATAAACGGTACGGTTGGATCGTACGCTGCCAGCAATGCTGATGCTGTGGCCGGTCCCACCTAAATAGGTAGCCGTTTAACCATAATGACTCAAACGTCACATAAATTGACAAAGTAAATGCAGCTGTGACTAGCGTATGACAAACCCCTTTTAGCGTACAAAACGCCTCTGTGGCTGCGCGTAGATCCCCGCATTTAAGCTTGTTGTATGCATTGAGTGACGCCTGTTTGACCTCTTTTGCACTTAGTCCCGAGACGTACTTCATCAGCTGTGGACGCCTGAGCAGAGGCAAGAGCTTGATTGTCGTTTGAAACAGATACGACAACAGCAGTTACAGACGCACCATTTGCCCTTCTTGAGCTTCCATTTCATAAGTTGCTGCAGCTCCAGCTTCGTCACGTATGGTTCGGGCTGACGGGCATGTAGAATGGGCGGGAAAGAGGCCAGATACCAGGAATCCAGCGCCGCCAGATCGTTCTTTTATAGTAGGCAAAATGTCAGTAGATGGTGGCAGTAATGCGACCACAAAGTAACGTTACAAAACCTCCTTAGACTGCATCACTTCATCGTAACGGGTCCAGATTGTTTGCCAAGCCGCTTCAGACGACGAGCTCCATAGCGTCGTCATGATCGAATTTTTTAAACGTGGTACTACAGTAGTCGTCAAGCTGTGAGATTTAACGTTAGGTCGCTGTGCATATTATGCCCAATCATATCAAGCACCTGTCATACTTGCTTTGTTAGAAAAAATGCGATTTACTCAAATATGTACAGTATAAAGCAAGAGCGTTGTCTTAAGAAGATGCCGTCACAATGCAATCTCGCAGGGCATCTTTTCAAAAGTCCCTGCTCTTGTACCAAACATAAGCCTCTCTTGCACACATACCATTGCCAAATTTCTAATCGACAGCGTACCTCAAGTATGTGACCTCTTTTTATTTTATCATTTTGGCAGAGTATCTAGTTGTTCGTTGCCTTTCCCTCTTTTAAATTTGCGCTTTTTATTTCTGTGTTTAGTCTGCGATTGGCGCTTTCTTCGACACTTTTAGACTAGAAGTTCATTATACAAATGGACGAGAAGGAGGCAGCTAAAGCCAAATTGCTCATTGTTACGCTACAAAAGTACGGCTATGATCTAGAGGATCCTGCTCGTACTAGCTCCAGCACCAGCACCACATCAAGCTCGGATTCATCTCCAACTGAATGGAGTCCTGATGACGACGTAGAACCTTCTGCAGCTGGTCGACTTAGTGGTCCATCATCTGCAAGCATCTTGGCTTTGCGTGACCGCAAGAATCAACAGAGCGCGCTTCACATTGCTGCCAAAAAAGGTCATCTTGACGTTTTGCGTGCACTAGCAAAACTTCCGCGGTTGTCAGAGCACCTTAATGCTGGGGATCGACACAGCAACACAGCACTACACTTTGCTGCCAGCAGTAATAGATCTAATGCACCGGATATCGTGGAGCTTTTGCTAAATTTAGGTGCCAATCCGTCGGCTGTGAACGTCCGTGGACAGACGCCGTTGGCTATTCACATCATGACTGCCAAGCCCGACACGCCCACGCTCATTACCAAGCTCTTTATTGAAAAGTTTCGAGAGTTGAAGAGTTCATCACCCTCGTCTCCTCCGTCGTCACCATCTTCTTCAATGGGACATCACACCTCTTTACTGTGTCCTACGTTGAATAATCTCGTAAATGGAACCACATATTTGCACATGGCAGTAGAACGACAATTGGGTGAAATCGGCGGTGCACTGGTGCAAGGAGGTGCCTCAATTAATGTGCCCGATCAAAATGGCATCATGGTGAGCGACACGATCCCTAAAAAGATGCTGGTGAAGCTTATTACATTTATGACAGAAGGCTCGCAAGTTGGTCCATCGGACATAGTACGCGGTAGTTGCAAGATCTGTCGCAATCCGAAAAGTCTATTGGACCCACTTAAGGATTGTGCTCTATGCAGCCGCGCCGTTTGCAAAAATTGCTCCCAAAAAGCTTCGGAAATTCGCAAATCGACATCAGACGGAAGTTATACGTCGCTTAAAGACAAGGATGAAGGCCGATTTTGTGCTGTTTGCTGCACTGTCAAGATTTTGAAGTGCAAGAAGCATAATCAGCGTGAAAATTTTAACAAAAAGCTCATGGGCTGCGGCTTAAAATAGACTTGAGGATTGTTAGCCTCAATGACCGTGATACTTAGTTTAACGATATATTTTTGATTCTGTGTTCTTTTGCTTGTCCAAAATGATGACTTAAATTTTAACATAAGTTCATGCGCACATTTTAGCCCAAAAGCACATAATACGAAAGATACGAGAGCGAAGCTGCTGCAAAAAATGCTCCAGTGTACACAAATATGAGCGCAAGTCGCGGTGAATAGAAAGCGTCTCGCTCAATGAGATATCCACGCGACACTTCGTACAGGAATAGACCAGGGACTGTAAGTGCAAGCATATTGCCTGACACTGAACCCACGAATGCCATGACAGTGCCCAAATTACGTGAAGATACTGAGAATAAGTGAGCAATTAGCAAAAATGCAATTGTAATACCAGTGCGGAACGTCAGGCTTTCACGGTCATGACCAAGACAGCAAATTTCAACGAGCTGACGTAATGGTTGAAATGTCATAGGCGCCTTGAGCACCATGCTGCTTCCCAGTGCAAGACGAGCTCCATTAATCAGCTTGTCATTAGCCTTAAAGCCCGTCAAGATATCGCTAGGTGGCTCTCCGTGAAAACATGCATAGCCCAGATAAGCGAAGAGAAGATAAATAAAAAGTCCCCATCCCACAAGTGCCCTGTGCACATGTGTCATCTGCGGCTTGTCATGAATTTCTTGATACGCGCGCGGGACATTAAGTTGACACACAAAACTTAATGTGACGATGGGGAGCGCGTAAGACAGCGCAGCAAACTCAGAGCTAAACTCGTCTGCATAATTTCGCGGGATCTGAGCTGCAAATTCGTGGTCATTTTGTACTGTGCGAATGCCCAGCGCCACAAGAATGTAAAGGAGACATATCAGCACTAGCATGTTGGCAAAACGAAGCTCGTGGATGGTATCCGGGAGACAGAGTGGAATGGCTAGGAGCATAAAAATTAAGCTGATAGTCTTACGACTCATAATATCCTTTAGAAACGGCTCGAATAGATCCATCGCAATGACCATGTAGCTCACAATGGCACCAAAAAGAAGTGCGAGTGTTAACAAACGAACGGTCCAGACACCGGCAGCGCCGAAGAGACGAGAGCTTAACGCCTCATATGAAAATTCGTTGGTGGCGTCGCAGCACACGCTGAGCATTTCACAAGCGTGGAATGCCAGCCACGCACTCAAAGCAAATAAAAGAAGCGCAGGGAATAGACCAACAGCTTGTACGACGCCCGGAAGAGTCAAAACACAGGCACCCGTCATGGTCGTGGCGAGTCCTAAGAAGGACGAGAAAGCCGATCCTTCTTCTGTGAAAGTGCGAGCACTTGCAGAAGCAGAAAGTGGAAGCGATGGAGTTGTTGCATCAGCTGAACACTTAAGCGATGGACTTTGCGCCGCACTCGTTGTCCGCAGCAGCGTCGCCGACTCGTGGGTGGCCATAGATCTTTAACTGCCTAATAATTACTCGGGCATCTATTAAGCAAGCAGATTTATTTCTCAAGTTCCTTTTTGGGATTTTGTGAATTATATCTTGATCCGTCGCAGGTTTATTTGAAATTTATCTCAATGGCTTACTTGAAAATATAACATTATATTGTACAAGGTCACAAATAAGCAGCAACTTCCAAGCGCAAGATGCAGTAATTATGCTATGTTAAATCAACTACACGAAAGCAACACCGTGCCTCGTTTTCCTATTGCGTCACTGCTGCAGTTTTCCTCGACTCCCATTTAAATGGAGCTTGAGTAACTGGTTAGTCGATATGCAACGCAGAGCCGAGCCTGTCGTCGTTGTAGTGGCACAGTCGTCGCGGTCTAAGTGTGTACAATGTTGGGCTGGTTTTCCGATAGGATAGGGTCGAACAGCTCTAACTAAATGTGAGCGAGCCCCTGGGTAGAATAAATGGTTTTCTATGAAAGCCCTAAATGTTGAGCCGATTCGCAAGTTGCCCTATTTGTTTCCTATTTTGTATGGCACGAAATATCGTGTTCAAACTCCACCAACTCCAAATTTATGCAGGTGTAAAATTTAATTGGTTAGCTCGTTGCTTGGGTATTTCATTAGGACAGGTGGCTGTCAGAGCTAACAAGGTCTCCTTCCTAAATTTTACTTGTATGACGCAAAGCGATTTCCACTTAACCAAATAACTGGTAAGTTGGAAATTTTTACCGGTGTCTTAATGTATGTCGTACAGGCCTTAGGAGCACAAAAAAACAAATCCACTGCGGCAATTGCGACAACAGCACCCGCATTCAGTTGTGTGTCCACGTGGGGCCCTGAACACTGCTGTCTAGCTGTCACCGCAAGGCGCTGAGAGTGCTGAATACGTTGAGGGCGTCGCAGGGGCTACCTTTTTGGAGATAGTCCAAAAGCTGCCATTCTGAAAAAGATGAGCCCAGCGTATGTCCTGACGTAGGAGGCAAACGGAAACCTGGCGCCTGTGTTAGCCGGGTCTGTTAAGGGTGTGGAGGAAGCTGGCGGCGACGTAGGTCGCGTTTTGCTACCCCAGTGACGCATGTCATCCTTAAAGCTGATACTGCAGCATTGGGTAAACCAGCTCAAGCGACCACACACTGGGGATGCAGTTGCGATCCGGGAGAGCGATGGATCAGGCTCCAGGCAAGAGAAAGACACGAGAGCCCGCCATCCGCAGCGCGTTATCGACAATGGCGTATCCAATTGTTATTATTGATGACCGCCGAGAGCGTAGATGGTGTCATCGCATTTGATTCAAGAATGGGTATGTGGATTTGCTTCGTCGTCGAGACCTGGGATGGCAACGTCCAGGATTACGACTCGGTTGACATGTGGTATGATGTGGACATATGACAAACCAGGCCATCCTGCCAGTTCTTGAAAGGTCTTGCTGGGTACCGCTTGCACCAGAAGGCAGGCGAAGATATGGATTGTGTTCATCTTGCAGTAAAGGGCTGGGGTTCCCTTGTGTCCAAGGAAGACTGGAAGACACTTTCAGAGCGAACATTATCGGCTCGGGCGAAGGAATCGGCATGAGGAAGTTGAGGGCGCTGCTGAACTGGCACGAGAAAAACTGAGATACAACCAACCCGCGCGTTGATCAAAGCTACTTCGCCCGGAAAGAGACTTATCTTAATGGACAGTTTGACGGTGTTGACGTCAACTTCGACCTAAAGTTGGAGCCTGGAATGTATCCAGTGAGCAGTGACTCTGAGTCATTGTATTGCTCTGGGGGTACTGGGCAAGACCTGCAGCCACCCGGTCTACGATCGGCACTTACGGATTGAGCTGATCGACACAGAAGAATGGCTGTACCGCGTTCGTAGAGTTTACTATGCTGTGTTTATGGGGACTCGAGTCTACTGGTAAAGAAGCGCAAGACAACATTCAGATTGCTTCGTGACAGGATAAAAAAGATGTCCAAGCCATTTTAGGACGGCATCGATCCCAGTGGAGTACCTCATGAGTCCGACCCATCGTGATGGGTCGGGCAAGTCAATTCCTTCACTGCAAATTCAGGTCCCGCAGTAGCTTCAATAGTTGGATTGATGGTTGACTTAATACTTTATTGAATGATGTAAATACGACGGCAGGTTGTCAGAAAATATTCAAGTACCCCTTAAGTCCTCGCTGCTTCGGCACTGACTCGGCACGGATGACGTTTGCTTACACACGGGGATCTTGTGGGCAGCCACCGGCGACACACTGTAACAAGTCGTGGATTTGCTGTGAAGATTGACATACGCTTTGGTACGCTGAAGAACATACTTGGGGTTTGAGGGTATTCCAGTCATCAAGCGATCGTTGTGATAAACTTTAAGGATAGACAGCACGCTACAACGAATAATAGTGAAGGTTCGAAGCATGTTATGAGATCCAATGGTTTTGGCGACTTGGGGAATAAAATTGACACCCAATTGTAGCCTACGTGACGTCATTTGTGAGCAATAACCGAATTTTTCGAAGAAACGCGCTTCAGAAGCGTGGTCAAAGGGGCAGCTCCAAAACAACTGCTGTGCAGACTCTGTCTCGTCGCAGCCATGGACGCAAAAATGTCGGATGTCTTGTGCTGATATTTACAGTGCACGTTAATCCGTTGTGCTGCAGTTTGATCTTGATGTCAGAAACATTTGGAAACACACCGCTCATTCACGTCTCCATTACTCTTCCTATCTGGATTCAGTTAAAATGTCGAGAGATACATGTGGGATGCGCTGGATAGGGTGCATCCTTTGCAGTAGGTAGTAGAATTGGCGATTTGTGCCACTTAAAAATTGAAATCGCTGAAGGTCCATCTGTGGGAAGCAGCGTGTAACTCTTGTGGTAGATGGGGTCCGTACGAGGGACAGGAGTGATGTCTTCGGTCTGAAGGCGTCCAACGAGAAAATGCCCAGTCGCCCCTAACTATCGGCCAAGTAGGAATAACAGTTCCTCATTCAGTATCTCCAGACAAAATTTTTCTGTCAAGTTATTGCCGAGGCGGTCGACGAAATCTTGAAGATAACTGTATCTGCTATCAAAGATTGTTGAGCAGTCAATGATGCTCTTCCCATGAGTCGGTTGGTCCTGTCGACGCGATGGAAGTGGTTTTTGCTAATAGGGCGATTCCGGACGCACCCAAGCCAAATTCTTGAGTGTACTGTGCATAATCATTAGTCTAAACCAAAACGCTAAGTGGCTTGATTCAGAAGGTTCCCGTACCAAACCAGGGTTCTTTGACTTACAACCAGGTTGTAAGTCAACCGTCGTTGGGCGTGTATAGAAATTCAAAACCAGGTTTTCCGTACTACAACGGTTTATTTACGAGGATTAAAGCTGAACAAAAACAACGAGGCAATGCATGACTGGCAGTAGCTTCCATCATTGCGTCATGTAGTGAGCGGAGGTGGAGAGCGTAATAGAAGGCCATTGTTTCGGGAGGCCTGAGCCCTTCGTTTGCCATGAGCCAGTACCGTCATTTTTCTGCCTTAGGCCCTGTGATGTGGTGCTCTGCGAAAATTTCCCACTTGAAAAGAAAGGCCTTGCACAGTTGCTTGACTTAGTCGCCACTCCTTCTGGTATATGCGTTTCCGCAGTAGTGTACCATCTGAGGGTTAGCACTATAGCCTTTAGACTCACAGAACGACCAAGCAGGATGCGCGCGCGGTATCGCCAGAGAGTACAGCAAAGAACCATGTTTCAAGTAGCCGAAAGATGCGCAAGCTGGTTGGTAGTGACGGGCACACGTATATTTCTATCAAACGGGCGGCGTCGTCAGATACTAAGTATATACCATTCTCTCGAGTTTCAATTCAGTGGTGAACGAATATACTCTATCTTGAGTTTCTAGCGGCAAAACATCCTCTACGCATGGTACGTACTTTAGTTTCATGCATCGCCTAACACGGGTGTAACCTCGAGAGGCATCGATGTCTGCGAGTGCCATCGTAACGGACCTCATCCCGGACGACACATATCGTGGCATTGCTCGATCATACTCTATTTTTAATTTCAACTTTTGGACGAACGCGCCTGCCATTTATCATAACCCAGTAAAGGCGCAGGCACTGTGTGGCAACGTCACAGCTTCCAGCTATCAGTATCGAATTCCTTCTTTGGATGGATCAGACCATTGCGACTCACTACAACTCGGCTTGGTCAAGACTATGCTTCGTTCCTCAGCTTTCCGTTGGTGGTAGCGATAGGATTGGTCATGGAAGACCGATCCGCAGAAGTTGATGACAGCATATATATGGCTTCATCTAACCCAAGAGACTACAGACGTCGCTGAAACTGCCATCCAGGATTAAATTATGGACTGTGTAGTGCTCATCTCAGAGTCGCCTTGGACGTTGCATAGGTTGTCCATGATTATTAACGGACCTATCGCGCCTGATCGGAAAGAAAGTGCATGTTTGTCAGATTTTTTCAGGATTACAATCTTGCCTTGCCAAAAACCAAGTTCAACACTCCGGATCTTCTCCGGGTCGTGACACATAACAGCAACTCCGCCGACTCAAAGGCCCAAGTTTTTTATCAAACCGCGGCAACTTCACCTTGACTGGTTGTGACGGCGTCGCTCTTACCCTCTCTGTGGCTCATCCTTCACAGACGTGAAGGATGTCATCAATGGATTGACCAGCAGACTCGCTTTCGGGTGCACGACACAGTCATCGGAGCTCTTCGGATTTTATTCATGTTGCGTATTCACCGGTTGATGTGTCTGTCCGAAAACATTTTTTTTTCGATTTCCTGCCGACGCGGTTCCCGGAAGATGCAAACCATTTGATATTTGGTGGCATCAATGTTCTGATCGTTGCCCTGTTTGAAGAGCAAGATCCGTATCCTCATTCCAAGGGTCGCGACGAACTTAGAACGTGATTGGTCGAGTTGAGTGTTTCAGACATCTGGACAACAACATTTGCTGACCGTCGTGTCTTCTCCGGTCCCAACGGTCGCCGGTTTATTTTGAGCAATGCAACCGGAAATCCCGTTACGTCACGGATAAAAATGGTATCACGAAGACTACTCATCTGTGAGTTTTTTTCTAAAGTCTCCTTCAAACCCAAACTTCAAACGGCTACCGTGGAAATGCTCTAGGTGGCTTCTCCAGGTACCGCTAATCCATGAGACGCTAGTCTACACATAAAATGCCTGTGCTAGAGTGTTCTTAGGTTCCCCGGTAATTACCCTGGTTATCTACCGCAGACCGTGCTTTTCTCCCATGACATGCAGCGTTCCCCCCAAAAAATATCGAGGGGCACGCCAAGCTTCGCATGGGCCCCGCATGACCCGTACTTTAGACGAAGTGTACTCAACCGCAGACACGCGTGCCGACATTTAGCTTAAAAGGTTTTGAAGATCATGTTCCACCAGACGGGATGCCGAGTAGTTCGAATGAGATATCTCGGAAGGGAAACACGGGTCATCCTTCTTCTACCAAGCCCCATCCACGCTTTTGTACAAGGTGGCCATTCCTGGCGTTACCAAAGCAGACGGTACGGTAACGATTGATCCGGATGTAATCGCTGCTGAACTCCGCCGGTACTGGGCCCCTTATACCAATTGTCTTCAAAACACCTACGAAAATCATTTCGGCGACGAATGTATAGCCTATCCGGACTGCAAGCGCTATTGAAAATGACGCGGGTCCAACTGCCGAATGCTTAGCGACAAGGCCTTGATGCCTCAATTATTGTTGAAGAGTTGTATCGAGTAATTAATATCTCCCTCAAGGGCATTCAGCATGATGTGACGGCTTGCCCGCAGTGTATATTTAATTGGGTATTTCCCGATAGATCTAAGTATTTAAGATTGTTTTACACCTAACGTCGAGCGAGTTGGGATGACCAAGTCCCACCGCAAGACTTTCATCTCGTTGCTGCGACTGCAGCCTCCCTAGCAATTAACGACCGATCACGTTTCTCAACCATGATGCAAAGTTTGGTTCCAAAGTGCCAGTTAGGAGACTCAGGAATTGTCGAATGGTCAGCGAAGTCGAGGGTTATCGTCCTCGATTTCGACCAACTAGATCATTTTGCGTTTTTTTGAAGATCTTAAAATCGGAGCACCGCATGAAAAACGAAGCGTCTCTTGCCAAATCTAGTTTGGGTAGAGTGGAGTAGAGAGGAAAGAATGGTCCGTTGTTCGGCTCTCGTGATGGTAATATAGCACACGGGAGTCGGTGACATCTTCTGTGACTTTGTGATATCTTTGTCTCTTGGCACTCTCGTTAGCGTCTTATTCCATAGGACAAAAACAAGTTCTTCGAATTGGAATGCGGGGTCTGACGAGGGAATCCGCTATCGCCAGCTCTCTTCGTCTTAATCTCCTTTGTGAGACAACTGGGTATATTGGCCTGTAAATGTCGGGCGATGAAGAATTTAATCATCTTCTTGCCTGTGCCGACGACTGCACTGGCCTTCTTCGAGATCTCAGTTTGGATCCTAGGTAAGCTGTCACAATCAACTCGACGCTTCCGAAGCTGGCTTACGTCTTAAAGTTCATAAGACCCACTTGCTACCATCCCCCCTTCCTCCGGCAGTAAGAGGACTTCTGGAGACCCAGGGATGGGAAATAGAATTAAGCGTATGCGCTGAGCTGTGCTATGAGCGCTGCGATGCGATCTCCAGGCTCACCGAGCATAAGCAATTTCTGAGCCTTCTTGTGGACTTTTCAACGATACTTTAAAACCTACATCATGTCCATACGGAACTTGATAATGGAGCGGGCCGTAACCAAATTACTAACAGGTTCCGAGAAGCCGAGGGCGGAGCACTGAACAGTAATCCCATCACCGTTGGCGACACAATATGAATCGCCGGCGGTGGGATCGTCGAAGTCTAGGTCGCTGAAAGCTAATTTAAATGATGTATGCCACACTACGAAACCAAGTTGAAGTTGCCTCTTAAGCTGCTTGACGAGTCGTGATGCGTTGTTTGACACCCGAACGAAGGTAGGGGGTGTAAGAGCAAAGAGAATGGCGAGTGACTTTCACTCAATCTACACTGGATCCGGAGCTTCTGGATGCTTTATGATTAGTGTCCTCTCAGACAGAGCAGAGATCTGTTCTGGCGTGGGCGTACCGGAAGCAGAGTCACCTGTTGGGTCTGGAAGATGGCGGTCTCCACGTCGAAGATTGCTAATGGGTGTCACCGGAGTCTCCTCGGTCCGTTGACAAGCAGCAACTACTTCACTTTGAGCGGGAATCAAGAAGGGACGGTCTTGCTAAAAGCACCTTGATTATGCTGCACGTAGAAAGGACTTTCAAACCCTGGGAATATGATCTCGCGAAGGATTGTCCGTTTGACAGTAATGACTTGGAGACCTTGAACTCGGAGAACCATACTGTGCGATCACGCGACGTTGGTGATCGAACTTGATGTGCCGGGGTGACTATTGAAGACAGACCTAATTCTACAAAGTAGTCATATATCGCTTCGTCCTCCAGGTCTTGCATGGTGCGGGTAAGGTCAACGAAGTTGCAACGCTCCTTCGCACTGTAAGGCTTTTCGATGATCTTATAGCCCATGCAATTCACAACAGTACTCCCCAGCTCAACAGCAGTTTGTGATTGGCGCAATCGTGCAAAAAGTCACGTTCCACGTATCTGACTTGATTTCCTTGTTGATCGCATGCAGGATG